ATGTGGTCACAGGCCTTCTGTGCACACACGGCATCTGCAGTGTGGTCCCAGCCATTCCTCAGCGTTGCATGTGAGTGGTTCTGACGCCCCTGGTCTGTCCTGCGCCCGGTGCCTGTCTGCTGCCTTGTGTGAGCTCGCTGGACCCGCCTCCAGCTGCCACTCAGGGCAGGAGAGATGGAGCCCAGTACCCACCCAGCCAGCCCCAGCCCCTCTCCTTTCGCCACCTTCAATTCAGCCTCCACACTGGCCGCAGCTGTGATCTCATCCTTCGTGTCTCGTTTTAATGCCACCTCTTTCAGGAAGCTTCCCCTGTCCAGGAAGCCAGGTGGCCTCACCCCCCTCTGCCTACAGCACAATCTAGGAATGGTCTGCCCAGGTGCAACAGCAGTGCTCCAAGAGGCTTCACTGCTGCCCCAAGTCCCGGCCATCCAGCCCTCTGGACTCACCTGAGGCCCTGCCCTCACTGCAGTCCACTTCTGGCATCAGGATAAGGAGCCCCAGCCTCTGGGCCCTTTCAGGCTTGGCTGTGGCCCTGAGCCACAGGGGTGAAGTTTGCTGAGCCTCACCTGGCTGTCTGCATTGATGGAGGGGGCAGGGGTGTGGGGGCAGAGCCAGACACTCAGGGTTGAAACCCAACGCAGTTCGATCAGTCAAACTGCCTCCCTCCCACTGAGAAACAAGACAAGGGGCAAAACAGATGTGACCCCAAAATCTGTTTGTTCCTGGTTGAGGATCTGTGAGTCCAGCAAGGGGCTGGCCAAACTCCAGGACCATGAGGACCAGCCTCCCAGCCCTAGGCTGGGCCGGCACCACAGAGCCACTGAGCACCAGGGCCTTGCTCGAGGCGATCCCTCCAGGGGAAAGGGCAACGCTGGTGGCATTAGAGACATCCAGGTGAGGTGCCCACCCAGGACGCAAAAGGAGGCAGAGCTCCCCCCAGCAACAGCTTCTTCCTCCCGGCTGCTGCACATCGCTCAAGAAAGAAGCAAATACCAGGCCAAGCAAAGGGTGCTCCTGGCAGGGCCTGTGGGTGAGAGGTAGGGGTGCAGGAAGCAGCAGGATGGCCCGGAGGGTGGAAGGCCCCAGAAGTCTCTGAGACTGAGTAGCTTCCCTTTCACCCCCAGTCCACTGTCTACACGCCCACCTCCGCTCTCCCGTTCTCTCATCCACCATCCTGCCATTGGAACCCAATGTACCATCCACCATCCTTCCCTTCCATCAGCCACAGCCAGTGTCTCCCAGTCCCCAAGGCACAGCATCCATCTCTCCGCCAGTCATTCCCTAATGATCAATTCACCTCCCTCTCAGAAACCCATCACCCAATTGTGAAATCATCCACAAACATCATGCACAATCTATCTGCTGTTCATCCAGCTACCTCTCTGCTTCCCATCACCCACAAATCCATCCTCCAGTTACACACCACCCAGCCAATCCAACTGGCATGCTGCAGAGATCCAAGCATGCACTGCAGACCCATCCTTCCAACCCCTACCAATCATCCGTCCATCACCTAGCCCATATTCATTCACAATCCATCCACCATGCTCTGTTCACCCATCAGTTATTTATATGCAAGAACTCCTGCACTCTCATGCAGCTGCCTACCGTCCATTCACATGTCATCTCAAGCCCATTCACCATTATTCACCCACCATCAATCCATCACTCCACCATTTGGTCTTGTCTACCATCCATCTCCATCCATTCACCAACCAAAATCCCCAGCTTCTCACCCACCATCCATTGCATCAAACTGTCCATACATGTACATCCTCTCAACAGCTACAGTTTCTCTTTCACCCATCAACCATCCACTTACAGGACCATGACTTATTTTGCCACCATCCACCCTTTCCACCATTCTCCTTTATTCAACTACCCTCGACCATCCATCAACCATCCTTCCCCAATTACTTTTCTGTCCATCTATCCACCAATAACATTCACCATCTGTGATCTACCATTCATACACTTACCCATCCACCATCCACAATCAACGATCTACTTTTATTTTTTTTAATCGAGTTTTGCTCTGTCGCCCAGGCTGGTGTGCAGTGGCACAATCTCGGCTCATTGCAACCTCCACTTCCCAGGTTGAAGCAATTCTGCCTCAGCCTCCTGAGTAGTTGAGATTACAGGCATGTGCCACTACACCCGGCTAATTTTTGTATTTTTAGTAGAGACAGCTTCACCATGTTGCCCATGCTGGTCTTGAACTCCTGACTTCAAGTGATTCTCTCTCTTTGGCCTCCCAAAGTGCTGGGATTACAGGTGTGAGCCACCATGCCCAGTCATCTATCTACTTTCATCTACCATCCATGATCTCTCTATTGATCATCAACCATCATCAAAATACTATCCTCTCTCAATCCACCACCCATCATCCACCATTCATAAGGCACCACCCACCTATCCGCCATTTACCATACACCATTACCTTCTGTCTATCTACCATCCATCATCCAACATCCATCTATCCACCCATCTACCCATCATCCATCCATCCATCCATCCGTCTACCTATCATCCATCCATCCATCTATCCATCCATCCATCTCCCATCATCCATCCATCTATCCATCCATCCATCTACCCATCATCCATCCATCCATCTATCCATCTACCCATCATCCATCCATCTATCCATCCATCCATTCATCCATCTACCCATCATCCATCCATCTATCCATCCATCCATCTACCCATCAACCATCCATCTATCCATCCACACACCCACCATCCACTCATCCATCATCCACAGTTCGCTCATCCACCATCCATTCATCCATCCACCCATTCACACATCCACCATCCTCCATCCACCCATCATTCACTTAGCCACCATCCACCATTCATCCATCCACCCATCTATATGTTCATTCACCCGTTCACCACCCACTCATTCCCCAGCCACCATTCATCTATCATCCCTCATCCACTATCTACCATCCACCACCTATCCATCCACCTTCCACTTATTCACAATCTGACATCCATCATCCACCATTCATCCATCCACACATCCATCCATCCACCCATCCAACATCCAGTATATGCTCATCCACTATCCACCATCTATTCATCCATCCATATGTCCATTTATTCACCCATTCACCATCCACTCAATCACTATCCACCATTCATCTATCATCCCTCATCCACTATCCACCATCCACTTATCCACAATCCACCATCCACCATTTATCCATCCATTCATCCACCACCCATCCATCAATATTCACATCCACCTATTCACCATCCACCATCCACCTATTCACCATCCACCATCCACTCATTCACCATCCATCCTTCCATCCACCCACCATCCACCAACAACTCTTCATCTTACTGTCCACCATCTACCATCTACCACTATCCATTCAATATTCACCAGCTACTCATCACCGTTCACTTTGTCTACTATCCATCATCCACCAACCATCATCCACCAACCATCATCCACCAACCATCATCTACCAACCGTCATCCACCATTTGTCACTTATCTATTCACCATCCGTTACCCATCAATTTACCATCCCCCAACCACACATTGTCCACTATCCACCATTTATCTATCTACAATTCACCATTTATGCAAACATCATCCACCATCTATCCATCTACCATCTACCTATTCAGCATCCACCATCTATTCAGCATCACTCACCAAACATCCACCATTAACACTCACTCTTTTTTTTTTTTTTAGAGACAGAGTTTCACTCTTGTTGCCCAGGCTGAAGTGCAATGGCACGATCTCTGCTCACCACATTCTCCACCTTCCAGATTCAACTGATTCTCCTGCCTCAGCCTCCTGAGTAGCTGGGATTACAGGCATGTGCCACCACGCCCGGCTAATTTTGTATTTTTAGTAGAGACGGTTTCTCCATGTTGGTCAGGCTGGTCTTGAACTCCTGACCTCAGGTGATCCGCCCGCCTCAGCTTCCCAAACTGCTGGGATTACAGGTGTGACTCACCGCGCCCGGCCAACACCCGCTCTTTATGATCTACCAGCAGCCATGTATCAATTTATGCACCAGTCATTCTCCATGCACCATTCCCTGATTATTATCCATTCATTTTTCACTCACCATCCTCATCCATCCATCCATCACCCATCCACACCGTCAACCATTCACCATTCACCCGCCAGGTATCCAGATGGCCTATGCCAAGCACCATCCATCCACCATCAATGCTACTGTCAATCAGCTGTCCCCGACTCACCATCCATCATTCTCTATCAGCATCCACAGTCCACCCTCCTGTACCATCCACACAGCACGTTCTGTCCAGTATCTTCCTTCTGTGGTCCAACCACCACCCACAATCCATGGGAGGCAGGCACTGCGTGGAGAAGTGGGCGTCCAGTCCCAATGGTGAGCAGACTAGGCTCAGCCCCAGCAGCACCCAGGACAGAGAAAGGGGTGAATTCAAAGGTCGCCCCCCTCCCAGCAAGACACTGTTTTACAGGGCAGGTCAGTCCCCACAAGCGCTTCTTGCTCTTCTTCCTGGGAACCTAAGGTGTTCAGGCCCTGCAGGAGCCAGTAAGGAGATGCCGGGAAGGTGCCTCCCAGGCGCCTGAAGAGTCGGCCCTGGGCGGGTCTGGAGGTAAATGTGTAACGGACCCCTGTGCCCCCACCCGACCTGCCTGGTCACGCGGGCCCAGTGGGGCAAAGTCTCCTGGTCGGGCAGGGAGCAGAGGCGAGATGGGCGCCCTGGGCCGGGTCCTGCTGTGGCTGCAGCTCTGCGGTGAGCTGGGGTCACACCGAGGGGGCCAGGACGGCAGCGGGTCTGTCAGGATCAAGGGCCAAGGTCCTTCTAGGAATGGAGGGTGAAGATCTTCCGAGGGGTGGGCAGGGAGGGCTTGGGTGGGGGGCGTGAAACTCGGCCTGGCTTCCCTCATCGGGCGCGTGCGTCGTCCGGGAGCGCGCGGCGAGTGCATCCGGCGGTGCGGGAGAGGAAGGGGTCTGGGAGAGGAGGGGGCGTGGGAGAGGAGGGGGCGTGGGAGAGGAGGGGGTCCGGGAGCCTCCACCAGCCTCGGCCTCCAGAGGCTCCTGCCCTCGCGGCTTTTCCGTCTGCGAAATGGGCGCGGTCCCCAGACCCTGCGGAGAGCAGCGAGTGAGCGTGTGGGAGTCTGCGGGGCTGGGCAGCCTGCCTCAGTTTCCCGGTCCCCGAGGGAGCACTGAGCCCTCCCCCCACCCTTAACACCAGGCAAGCGCGTGTCCCTGGCGCCCACTTCCAATGCCGGAAAAAATTCAGTCCATTCCCTGTCCCTCTTCCCTGGGCCCCTGGGGGCTCCCTCAGGACAACCCCACCCACCCTGTTCACGGCCGGCCTCACCTGGTCCTGCGGCCCCCAGCCCTTTCTTACTTCTCATGCCCGGAGGCGCTTTCTGCCGCAGCTCTTCCCGGCCCAGGTAGGACTCCTCCAGGAAGCCTTCCTGATTCCAAGGCCGAGGAAGAGGTCTGCGCTGCCCCATCCTCCTCATTGCCCCGGTTGTCGCTGTCCTAGACAACCCTGTCCTCTGCTCCAGCGCCAGGCAAACGGGGGGCAGAGCGGGAAGACGATCTAGGCAGGCGTCCTTAGGGCAAGGCTGAGCGGGCTCTGCAGATACAATAGAAGTCCCTCGGAGAGTGCCCGGGCCGGGCGCCCACAGTCTGGCCTGACGCCGGGAGGGACCAGGGCCTGGGCCTGGGCCGCGGGGGATGGAGCTCCTATGCGTCCGGACGGGGTGGCCCGCGCGGACCCTCCGCAGCTCTCTGGGTGGGTGGCTTTCCCTCAGAAGGGGGCGTCCCAGCGAGAACTGCGGACACTCAATTGCCTCCTCCCCAGCACTGACCCAGGCGGCCTCCAAACTCTGGGTCCCCAACACCGACTTCGAGGTCGCAGCCAACTGGAGCCAGAACCGGACCCCGTGCGAGGGCGGCGCCGTCGAGTTCCCGGCGGACAAGGTGCCTGGGAGCCCCGGCGGGGTCGGTGCTGGGCCTGGATCCTCGGCCCAGGTGGGGCCGCTCCTCGCTCGGCTGAACGCAGCTTCTCCCTGCAGATGTTGTCAGTCCTGGTGCGAGAAAGTCACGCCGTCTCAGACTTGGTAAGGGGGGGCTGCGGCTGCCACCGGGCGGGGGCTTCGAAACCGCCGAGTCTCCGAGCTGTGCCTCGAGGGCCGCCCCACAGGCATGGAGGCGCTGCGGGCCTCCACCTTTGGCCTCTGGAGAATATTCTAGGAGGCGGGGGGTGGGGGAGATCCTAGGGGAGCTTTGGTCCCATGGTCCCAGCCAGGTTGTGTCCTTGGAGGGGTGGGAGGCGCCCCTGTCCCCAGGGCCCTTCTGGTGCCCAGTCATGGGTGGTCTTCTCGGGAATCGTCTGCTCCATGCCCTTCCCCCAAAGCCTTGCCATGTCCTGGTGCCTAAAGCTCCACCTTTAGAGCACTAGGGCAGGCCAGGCGCTGTGGCTCACGCCTGTAATCCCAGCTCTTAGGGAGGCAGAGGCGGGAGGATAGCTTGAGCCCAGGAGTTCTAGACCTGCCTGGGCCATATAGCGAGACCCCGTTCTCCACAAAAAGGAAAAAAACAAAAAGACAAAAAAAAAAAAAAAAAAAAAAAAAGGACCGGGCGCGGTGGCTCAAGCCTGTAATCCCAGCACTTTGGGAGGCCGAGGCGGGTGGATCACGAGGTCAACAGATCGAGACCATCCTGGTCAACATGGTGAAACCCCGTCTCTACTAAAAATACAAGAAATTAGCTGGGCATGGTGGCGCGTGCCTGTAATCCCAGCTACTCAGGAGGCTGAGGCAGGAGAATTGCCTGAACCCAGGAGACGGAGTTTGCGGTGAGCCGAGATCGCGCCATTGCACTCCAGCCTGGGTAACAAGAGCGAAACTCCGTCTCAAAAAAAAAAAAAAAAAAAAAAAAAAACACTAGGGCAGGGGTCCCCAATCTCTGCCCACCCACCCTCTGGGTCCCTGGCCGGTTTGGAAGCGGCGCCCAGCAGGAGGTGTCCCATCTGCTCTCCGCCTCCCTTCAGATCAGATCAGATCAGATTCTCCTACTAGAGTCCCCTATTGTCACTGTGCCTGCGAAGGACCTGGGTGGGTGTGCACTCCTTATGAGAATCCAATGGACAGTCCTTGGAAGAACTGTCTCCCACAAAACTGGCCCCTGGTGCCAAAAAGGTTGGGGACTGCTGCCCTAGGGGAGCTTTTTCTCCAACTGCTTCACACAACACTCCCAGAGAATGATGGGCACTGCGAGGAAAGCAGGCTCCGGGAGCAGGTAGGTTTGGAAAACGCCTAGCTGCACTCACCTGGGGCTTCGTCACATATTAAAGGCTCTGATGATGCCCTAAAGGAAGAGGCGGATTTCCTTGTTTAAGGTGGGCTTCAGGGGCTACAGGCCAGATGCAGCCCCTATACCTTGGAGTAAGGAATGGATTTTACACTTTGCAACCGTTTCGGAAAAAAGAACAACCTTTTGTGACACTTGAAAAGTCTATGACATTCACACCAAAGCGACCGTAAATACAGCTTCACTGGCACACAGCCTGCCCTCTCGGTGGAGTGTCCTTGGTGGCTGAAGTGTGGTCCCAGCAGCAGGCACCAGCTTCTGGGGTGACCGTGGGGCCCGCAGGCCAAGCCCCTGGGCAAAAGCTTCCTCCCAGCACCTTCACAGCCACTCCAGGGCTACGACCTCCGCCTGTCACCTGCACACCTGCCAGCTCAGTCACTCCTGAGTGAGGGTCACTGGTGTTGGGTCTGGATGTGGGGGCCAGGCCTGGGGGGCCCCCTGCATGTGTGGGTGGGGGAATGTGGGGTCAGGGACCCTGGGCCTCACACCAGGGCCGCTCGGGTCATTCCTTCGGGTTTTTCAAAGCCACCTTAACCTGAAAGCCACTAGGTGCTGGGCAGCGTTGGGGGGCGGGGGTGGCAGTGTGAGGGGTGGGGGTCCTGACACCCTCGCACCCACCACACCCACTGCAAGATGGCAACACTCCCGCCTGGGCAAAGGGAGGAGGGCAGGGAGAGGGAGGCAGCTGTACTTTGCGGCCCCGCCCCCAGAGCCCATGCATAACCTTGCCAACCAGGCAGCTGGAGTGAGGGGACCCACGGGCAGAGGAGTCAGGCGGGGTGGGGGTTCCAAGGGCCTGGATTCCCCCCACTCCCCTCCCCTGCCAGCCTCCTTACTTTCATGATCTTTGGAAGCGCTTGGGCTCTGAAAGGAGGCAACACTCCATTCATTCATTCACCCATTCAGTCGTTCATCCGTTGATCATCCATTGTCTGGTGGGAACAGCGCAAGGGCAGGGGTCCCAGCCTGCAGAGGCAGAATTCACCCAGAGCCTCCAGAGCACCCCCATCCCCTACACGGGCCGGCTCTGTTCCCTTCCACACCCCTGGCTCCTAGCATGGTCCCTCTGCCTAGATGGTGCCCAAGTTACAGGCCAGGAACATCAGTGCTTTACTTTGTGATTTTCTGGTTGGGAGCGTCCCTCCCTGAGATTTTCCTTTTCCTTGCCCTCCTTCCATTTCTCCCTTTGCGTGCTTTCTTGCTGGGGGCGGTCTCCTGTCTTCCACTCATTCCCCAGGCGTGGCTGGAGGCTCTGCAAGACTGGGCTCACTGTGGACTTGGTGGCAGTGTCCTGAGCTGAACAGAAACCCTCACTGTAACCTCCCTAATGCAAGCCCCCTAACTGTAGAACTGTGTTTTTGGTGTTTGGTGTGAGAATCCTCTCTGCTTGCGTCAGTCACGAGGGTAATCTGCTATGTACCCATGCGGCACATGCTCCAGGAAGCGGGCCTGCTCTGTCTCTCCCCTTAGAATAAGCCTGGCTCCTTGGGAGGCTGAGGCGGGTGGATCACGAGGTCAAGAGATCGAGACCATCCTGGTCAACATGGTGAAACCCCGGCTCTACTAAAAATACAAAAAAAATTAGCTGGGCATGGTGGTGCGTGCCTGTAATCCCGGCTACTCAGGAGGCTGAGGCAGGAGAATTGCCTGAACCCAGGAGGCGGAGGTTGCGGTGAGCCGAGATCGCGCCATTGCACTCCAGCCTGGGCAACATGAGTGAAACTCCGTCTAAAAAAAATAAAAAAACAAACAAACAAAAAATAAGCCTGGCTCCCAGCATCCTCTGCCTTGCCCTTTGGTCCCAGCACTGTCGGAATCTTCCGTGTGCCTGGGTGTTGTGGGTCTCAGCCCTGTCTTCAAGTCCACAAGCCGCACTGCCCACCCCACACTGTCCACACTGGCTCTGCAGGATGGCTTCATATCCGTTGGCGCCACTTGCCCCTTCACTCTTGCTCCAAGGTTCTTTGTGGGTCTGATTGTCGCAGATAAATTGTAGGATAGGGGCCGGGCGCGGTGGCTCAAGCCTGTAATCCCAGCACTTTGGGAGGCCGAGGCGGGTGGATCACGAGGTCAAGAGATCGAGACCATCCTGGTCAACATGGTGAAACCCCGTCT